CAAAACCCGGTTTCTAGCGTTGTAAGCCCGCAGACCTCCCGCTGAGCCACTGGGGGGGGGGGCTCGGGGAAAGAGATCCCTAATAAAAACTGAGCTTAATACTGCATAGCCTATAGTTCTTTTCATAAAATTCACAAATTAAACAAAAATGCATTGTGTAAATTTATTTTATGTACAATCCAACATTTATTGCATGTACTAACCGCTTTAGAAAAGTATAAATTACACAATTACATGAACTGAAACTACTTCACATACAAATAATTTAAAAAGAAGAATGTAATTACCCGTTTATCGCTTATCCACGCTACAGTTCATTAACAGGAAATTGGACACCCGATTATGCCTGATTTAAATATTTAGAAAAAAATCCACTTACTTATGATCCAATCAGCACTGATTATTAGACATATGTCTGCATCTGCCGAAAACTTTTTTAAGCTGAGAATTAGCAATGGGTTCATAATAGAACCCCATCGGATTTTTTAGTACATTTTAAACCACATTTCTGGGGAGGGGTCCATGACTTTCTTGATTACAGGATCCCCTATGTATGTATGCTTGTTTGTTTCAAAAATTCGGGTAAGGCTACATGAGGATTATCTTCGCACAGCTGTCCCTAATTTTGAACTGATAAACAAGATGGAAGGCAGGGCAGCTAGTCAACAGCACCAACCGCGAACTCTTGGCCTATTTTTGTCCAACCGAATAGTGAGATTTGAGCGTCACTCTTATAATGCACCCACAGTCTCAAAGTACGGAGCACATTTTTGCGAAAACCGGACGAAAACAGTGAATCTTCCGATTCACAATTTTGGCACGCTAAGAACTGTGCACGCCTGGCCCAAACATTATGGTCAGTGTTGCAATTAACTCCACTTATTATGTATTTTACATAAGGTATGAGTGATTTCGCCCCATTTTCTGGTTACGTCTTTACACTGCGTATAGAAAAAAGTAAAAATATTTAATGACTCAATGTGATACAATACTTAGATCCCAGCTGTAATTAATGTTGTCCCCCAGTGGTACAGCGGTATGTCTGTAGACTTACAACGCTAGAAACCGGGCCATAGCAGATAATGTCTGTGGTAATAGCACCCAAATACGTTGTGGATATCTCACCTATCAGACAAAATCCAAACGCTGATGTTAAACTACTCAGCCGTCATGGAAAATCAAATAAGGGTACGAAACTGGGTGTTTACATCCACAATGTCTCAGTTTCTACTGCCTTTCAGTCAAATAGTTTCAGTAAACCGATGGGCACAGTGGTCACTTCCGCTGTTAACTGATGGACGCGGTGAAGTAAAACTCGGTATGTTGACCAGTTTGACCATATAAAAGGCAACGTAAGCATTACAGTGACTTGCTTGAATATGGTTTGGTCGATGGCTTTTATGTTCATAAGTACCATATAGTGTGACCATGATGCATATCATCATAACACACCATACAACTGTGTAGGTTGTCTTCCGCATGATCATATTAACTTACCAAGTTTCACAAGATTGTGTCCACTGGTTTCCTGAATGTAGTTGTCTAAACAGCGGAAGTGACTTTTGAAACAGCCGGCATATATATATATATATATATATATAATATTTTAATACGTATCTCACCTTCTTTCATTGTCCACGAAAAGAGTCTGGTGTTTCCTCCGTCCCCCACCTTTTGAAAAGCAAATTGGTAATAGCCACTTGTGGTACTAAATGCGTGACTTTTGTAAACGACGTAGTCTTGTCTCTTGGATAAACACAGCTTTTCGGATTGCGATCTACCGCTTATTGAAACACTAGGGTGAGTAGCAGCATCTTCTAGGACAGATGGGCTGTCTGAAATATCACAAAATTCAGAAAGATTTCCTGTGAAGAATATCAAATAACAGAAAAAAATCAAAGCATTCAACACACTTATTAAGCTTATCAAACGTACGGTTAGTAACTAAACCTTCAAAATCAGATAAAAGAAGGATAATAATTACGATTATAACACATTTTAAAAGAATCGATACTGGTAATAATAAAATGAACTACCTTCAGAATATAGATGTATTTTAACTCAAATTAGGAAGGTTTGGATAATGCATTATAATCTGGAATATTGCATAACCTAAAAATAAAAGACGCAGCAGAGATAATTTGTTTCCACAAAGCTTAACAATGGGCTATCTCTGCTACGCTCATCGCATGGATAAACCCCCGAATTTTAGTGTCATAAGCCCTAAAGTTTACTACTGAGCTACCACTAGGGGGCGGAACAAATCTCGGTGATAAACATTTTTTTTAACTCTTGTACTTGCTGTAATTTGTAAACGCCTCTTCGTTAGATGTTTACACTCAAGTCTTTAAAGTAATTTCACTCTAATTTTTAATTACGTTATTCCTTTACTCTTTGGACGTCTAACTATTTTGATATCACTGTTGTTGTTGTTGTTTTTATCGAAGAATAGGTAAAAATAGATACCTTGTCTCAGACCACCCTCAGTTTTATGAGCCACATTTCTTATTATTTATTCTTAGTTAACAGGAAACTATTTACATGTACGTTTATCTAGGAGATTAGCATAACCTACTGACAACAAGGGACCGTTTAGGTCCTTCAAGAAAACTGTGCTGGAAAAGGTAGACATTTAAACTCACTCTTTACTTTTCAGGAAATCATCAATTCGTCTCTTAAACTTCTGTAAAGTGCCGGCATCCATTACTGCTGACAGGAACTTATATCATAACTCAATCCCTCTGACAGAAAAATAAAACTGTCTTAAATGAAGCTATTGTTCTCTCGTCTGCAGAATATAGCACAAACAAACCAAAGCCTATATTCTATCGAACCCCCAGATAATCTTGTAAACTTGAATAACGTCACCTGTTACTCTTCCTTTCTCATAAGTTAAGAGATATCAACCTATGGAAAATTCATAACATATAACATATCCTTTCCGCCCCTGGAATCATCCTAGTTGCCTTCCCATGAGCCCTTTCCACAAAGTCAATTTCTTTTTTTAGACAGAGATAAAAAATGCACATATTATTCCAAGTGAGGCTGAAATAGTTATTTGTATAGTAATTTATAATCACGATCTCCGTAAATAAATCTCAAAATTCCATTCGCTCTATTACTAGTAACAGAGCACTGCTTCGATGGTTTGAGTGACATATCCATCACTTTGCCAAGATCTTTTTCTTCAGTCACGATACTGGGCGGGTTCCCCTCTGTATTAGAGATATGATTCAAATTATGATAACTTAAATATATTCCCTTGCATTTTTTATAATTAAAACCATTTACCAAATGTTTTATACAACTTACCAATTGATTCAAGAGATTCAGTGCTACATCCACATCCTTAATACTAATTATGTTCCTATCATTATCATTAATGTAAATAGGAATAAGGAAACGCCCAAGGGTCCAGTTTATAACAACCTTTTGCTTTCTTCTATTCATCCACCCTACAATCCAGTTAACTAGTCTTTCCCCATCCCATACTAATATTATTTTCTTAGTTAATCTTTTTGAAAATCTAATAACACAAAATCCACACACCCTTTCGCTCGTCCACATAACAAGTAACATCATAGAAAAGAGATAACTGATAAGTAAGTCAATATTTTCCTTTTGCAATTCCACGTTAGCTTTCATTTGTGATATCATATTTCACTAAATGAATTTAAAGCTTCTTTTATCAGACTCTAGAAGTGTTCCCAATAAAAAAGCAACACTAACTTGATCAATAATTTCCTAGACAAATTTTATTACCCCCTTTAAAAATGGAAGTGAAATAAGCAATTTTCCATTCCCGCTCACTCTCTATCATCCGACCGAAAATGAAAGAGAGATAGAGGATTATACATATAATTTTTGACCTCTTTGAAAACTCTGGGGAAAATTCTGTCTGGCGTTGGCGCTTCATCGACTTTTAATCTCTCAATTTCCCTATTTACTGCCAAGGGTCGAATATCTGTATGATTCATGCGAGTTCCAATATTTTCCATTTTCTACAGATGCAGTTGACATACTTCAAACTCGAACTTCATGCTATGTTTAGAAGTCATTCACTGAAAAGTTCAGGAGAAGAGAATTTTCAAAGTTGTGTGTAAATAAAGGTTTAGCAAAAAATCTAGAAATAAAGCATTATTTATTAACTACGGATATTTCAGGAACTAGTTCAGGACAGGAGTCACGAAGATGTGTCTTTCATTATCTATTAACTACGGATATTTCAGGAACTAGTTCAGGACAGGAGTCACGAAGATGTGTCTTTCATTATTTGCGTTTACCAGATGATATCTCAAGTATTCATAAGGTTTATTTTTTAGGAGGGAGGAGGAATTACTTTGATAACATTTTCTTTATTATACTTTATTCTCATAATGTTCAATAGTATCAAAGTATTTTCTTCAGTGCAAATCCATATTTTATAATACTAAGCGAACATAAAATACAGGATGTTCTCCAACATGAGAACAACTCCATATTACTGTATGTACGAACTAGGCCTAGAATTTTAAATACTACTTCTACAATGTACTTGCTAACACAGTTTCACGCTTTCATAATGCATTTACTCTTTTTTCTTGTTTTAAGTTTTAGCACAAAGCAATCCAATCGGTTGTCTGCGCTCTGTTCACCTCAGAGAATCGAATACCGGATTTTAGTGTTAAACCGTAAACTTACCCTCACCAACTGGGGTGGATTAATGCTGTCACAGTCGAGACACTGCCTGAAAATATTTCGTCAAATCTCTAAATTTGTTTGAAATTAGTATTTCTAGATATCAATTCAACCGAAAAATTCCAGTTTATACCAAACTCGCGTCAATGTTTAATTAAATTGTTTTTATTTCAAATGGCACTGACCTTTGTTAACACATATGGGACAACAGCGACCTATGACCTTCTGGGGTTTAGCACACGTGAGTCCTCTTAATGAACAACCTATGCGCCCACATTCAACTTTTCCCATCTATGATAAATATAAAAGATATCAAGTCACTAGTTACACCTTAATTTTTGGTTCTTTCCTATCAATCTAAAAAATCATTAAAAGCACCTGTAAAAACTTCCTTATATATAATGCATGCAAAATGGTTAATATAAAAGTGCTTTTACTCAACCCCAACTACCGACAAGTATGATAAAAATTAGTACTGGTAATACATTTTGAAGAAGAAATATTGTTTGGTTCTAGAACTGATTTTAATCTATTTTCTCAACATTAGGTTTGCTACTATAGTACATAGAGCTCAGAAGACAAAGAACAATGACAACACTGTATATTTTTTGCATAGCAAAAGTCTAATGTTAATTTAAAACGTTTTATATAACGTTTATTATTTTGAAATTGTAGAATATGACTAACCATAATAGGTATTAATAATGGTTGGAGACGGCTTGAATGGGTAATGAAGAAAAACTTTAATATAAGTTTAACATAACAGCAAATGTACAACGTTTCGACAAGGTTTTGTCTTCATGAAGTACAAGTAATTTACACTGACACCGATATATATATATATATATATATATATATATA